CAAATAATATATTACAATTAGGGTCGGTAGTACTCCTCCATTCCTTATTATAAGATCCAATTTTTTGAATTGATTTGTTTCTATTTATAATCTTCCTTTTGAGTTTGTCTAAATAATAAATGTATTTTTATACATTTTGCCCTTAATTAATATATTCTCTCTTGTTATCTTTTTTCCATACGCTCTTTTTCTTTTTTTTTCCTCACTCACACTTACCCACTCATAATTCCTAAATAAGGATATATCTGGAAAAAAATATTTTTAATATATTTATTATTTTTAATTAATTTTAACAGTTTTTTTAAACTAGATAATATAATTAAGTAGATCAAGGATAGAGAGACTATAAATTATTCGGATTGATAAGAGCATAAAATAATAGCAAGCGCGGAAAGTGATTAAGGAGCTCCTAAGCCAGCTGCAGGCGGGAGCAAAAGGCAGACGTGGCGAGGGTTGATTAGCTGAGAAATTAATGTTGCGTGGAGGATTGTTTGGGTGGGGGAACATGGGACTCCCAGGATTGGGCAGAGGGGATCCTTCATTTTTGTGAGTTTCAAGCCAATGTGGTCCCCATACCCCGTCGGTTTAGCTAATCCATCCATGTGAACCCGTGCCGTAGGTAGGATCCCATCTCATTCAATTCCATTGAATTCGATGACTCCTAATTAATCTTATTACTTTGGCTTTATATTTATGTATTTTGGTCAAAGCTTTATATTTTTATTTAAGTAATAAGTTTAACAACTTAGTATTTTACAACAAGAATCAATGGTAGTAAAACAAATCTAGAACTTGTGATCATTCTATGAATAACATACATAAAATGATAAAAACATTAAATTTATTTTTCAAAAATGAACTAATTTATAAAACACTGACTTATGAAAAAAATTAAATAAATCGAACCAGTCAGTAAAAATAGATTGGCTAATAGTAGTAAAAAATACAGGAGGAATTAAGAGGTTTTTTTTTGGGGGGGGGGGTACTTGAGTTGATCGAGGAGATGTGATGGCGAAATAACAACAGTTGAGGATGTCTGGGAAGTAACGGAAGAAACGTTCACGTGCTTCTTCCAAGTTCCACCCACACACGGCCACTACTGCGTGTATATACGTATGTGTAAAAATTATACTCACCCGCTCCTAAATATAATAAGAATCTTGTATTTAAAACTGGAGGAGTATTCAATTAAATACGAAGATCAAATAAGAGAGGATTATAATAAAATCCTAAAAAAAATACTCTCTCTCTCACCTACTATAATATCCACTTAAATATACTATGTGATTTAAGAAAAATGTTGAAATTAATTAAAAGTAATGAATACTATTATGTTAAAAAAATATTTATTTTTCTAAATATGTTCTTATTTATAAATGGGTAGGTGTGAGTGAGAAAAGAGAGAGAGTAAATGTAAGGAAAAAAAATAATGAGAGGGAGTATATTAATTAAGGATGGAGTGAGTAAAAAAAAACAAGCCCAAAAAACATTTATAAATAGGAACAAATTAATTAAAAAATTAAATCTTATAAAAAGGAATGAAGTAGTAACTGTGAATAAGTTTCCCAGTTATTATTTATCATACTGAGAGTTCTTAATAACCATGGTTTTTCGGTTAATTTCTTTGCAGAAGTTATCCCTGACTGGCTTGTTTTGATGTGGATGAGACGAGGCAGGGGCTGGGGTTAACAGTAAAAGTAACGGGAGAACTCTCTGAACTGAAACTGAAACGCGAAACACGACGCCCTTCCTTTCGCACCGTGGGGGAAGAGAGAGGCAGACAGAGAGGGGACTCCCACGTGAACAGTGATGAATGACCTGAACTGCGACTCTGCGAGGGCATGAACCCTGAAACAGTGAAACTACTCATCAGTGGGCCCCACCCTTTTTCGCGTAAACTGAAATAGAAAGAATCATCCATATATAAACAAACGAGAATAATATAAAATTCACAATAAACCTTATTATTAATACGCTATAAAGAACACGATTTATTTATTTTTGATAAACACAGGTATTTTTCTGTCGAAAACAATTCTAGTCTAAGCACAATCATAAGCAAAATATAAGCATACCTTTCAATAAAAATTTAAACACATGAGTGACTAGCCTTTTTATTGGATCCAAGCTCACTTCACTTAATAGTCAACATTTATATTTTAAACGTCATATGGTACGACAAACGCGTCTTATTTTTTCTTTTATCTTTTTCCCTTGGGAATGAAACAGGGGTCTAATGAAACGTACAAATTGATATAATTTAAATATTTTTAATAAAACGAATATTTGACGCCTCTAACTGATTGAGAGGATGGTGAGCGGGTGACGTTTCAAAAGGATTTTATGCGGAAGCGGTTGAGAGAAACAGGGGGTGGGGATCACGTTTTCATGCACTGAACTGAAGGAGGATGAGGATAGGGATAGGGTGGGGAAGTATGGGCAGCAACAACGATCCAAGGAGCGATGAAACGCTGCGTTTCCCCGTGGTTGATAAATATTGATCTCCCGAGTTTTGAGCTTTCTGACCAGCTTTAACTTGCTGACCCTGCTTTGCCCTTTTTTTTAAAAAGATAAGAAGCTGCCAAAATAAGCTTCAACAGTTACTACTACCTGTTCAATTTCAATCTCAACTTCAAAACCTGCTCTCCTTTTCGGTTGAGCGCATCGTGCCTCACTTTTCAAATTTTAAAGACTCCTCCTGCACTTGATTCCCTTCTATCCCACCACCGCGCCCGGTGCCTCCATCAGTTCCCAAACTTTCCCGCCTTTTCTCCTCCCGTGTTCGCAAATAGCAACCTCCGAAAAAAGGGGGAAAATCACCAATGTCTCATGGACTATTTCTTTTGTCACATGATAGGTGTTCTATAAATTTAAAAAGGAATTTTAAAAAGTATTTTTTTACGTATTTTATATACTGTAAAATTATATTGAAAATTATGATTTAATTTTTATCTACATATTTTTTTAATCGCCCTTGAGATGAAAAAATCCCTTTATTGGTATGCTAAGATTGAAAAAATTTCATTGGTTTCAGTTTTCTTCCTTCCAAGGAGTAAATTGGATCAAATGGAATTTTAGCAAAGAAGCAGGCAAAGACTTTACAAAGAAGCTTAGCTAGCCCACCTTGTTTGAGTATATTTGCTGGGGTACTTGGGTAACAAGATGTAACTAACTGTTCGATCACAGTGTTACAACTAAGGAGACTAATGCCCTACCAAGTTTCTTCAAAACATGCTGGGACTAAGACATGGTAACCAATTGTTCCTTCTACAACATAAAGAACAGAGCAAGATAGATTTACCAAAGCTTACAAGGAGAGTATGTTACCTTGGAGGTAGACGATTTAGTTACATAGGAAGGACACAACGACTATAGAGAAGCTATATGGAGTAATGAATGAGTTTGGATATGTGGTTTTAGTTGTAAAATCAATTCAATTCCCTCAATTATCGTAGAAGTCTTAGCCATATTTCAAGGCCTAAAGCTTTGCTGGTCAAGAAGATTTAGAAGCGTCATCCTCTATTCTAATTATACTAAAGCTCTTAATCTCATTTTGAGAGGCTGTTCTCAGGATCACCCTTTCCAAGACATTATTGAAGACATTAGGATACTCTTTAATTACAACTGGAGGGTCTTACCTACATTTTCTCCTAGGAAAGAAATTCTTTTAATTGATCTTTTAGCTAAATTGTCTCCCTAGACAATCTTTTTTGTATTTTTTGATCACCCTCCATCTTTTTGAAAGAAGAGGAAGGGGCTGAGTGGTTTTGTCTCTGGCTCTTTTGTACTGTTTTCAGTTTCAATTTTTTTTTATAAAAAAAGTTCCATTGTACTCATATACCCCAAAACAAATCTATTTTACCGCATTTTTATTACCATTAGTTTAATTGACACTTTTTTTATTTCGTTGCATTCGTAACAGTTGTACTCTGTTAATTTATATTGTAATTAATATCATGGTAATATAAAATGGGTCTTCTCAGGCGGCGGTTTTTATGCCCCCTGAAGAAATAAGTGCCTCTTGAACAAAAATAACGGAGGCCATCATCCACATGGTGAGAAGAGAAGCGTTGTTGGGAGGGACAACAGTTCACCACCCCATTTGTTTCTTCTAGACTCTAGTGGTGCCCGAAGCATCTGTGTTCCCCCGTTAGTTGAACAATTACTCTGGGATCTCCGTCGCGCGCAACTTGCGACAACAATACTCCTGCTTCTGTCTGTCAGTGCTAGGAAAAAAAAAAAAAGTCAAAAAATTTTACACCAAGCCATCAACAACGATTTTTTATCTAAAATGCCAAAAGGCTCGTATACTTTTCCGGTTTTTAATATAAAACTTATTTAACTAATTTGATTAGATTAAAAAAATTAGATAAGTTAATTAGTTATAAGAAATATGACATGTTTTTCTTAAAACATTATAATCATCTTCCTTAATATCCTCTCTCTTTCTTCTATTTGATTATGATTAAAAGAATATTTATAAAGGTAATTTAAAAAAAATAAATATACAAAATAAATCTTATATTTAATATAAAATCAATTAATAATTAAATCATATATTAAAAACCAAAAGAGGAGTACTTTTTCTTCTTCTGTTCTTTAATTATACAAGGCAAGTTAAATGCTTGAAGTAGTTGTATTGAACTCGCAACTTTTAGTGAGTTATATGTCACTATTGTGCTTACAATAGAAACTCATATATACTAAGACCCTATTTGGCAGAGTAATGGGAATATTTTATAAGCACGTTTCACGTAAATCAAGACAAAATTTTTCTTACATATTTGTCTTGTATTCTATAAATCACTATTAAAAAACTACTTATAAACTATTTATAAGCTGTTTCAAACAGGTTCTAAAACAAGTCAATTCTGTGCTCGCAACCTGCCTTGGGTAGAAAGATGTGTGGCTGTTTCATCGTTGCGATGGGGTTACCATGGAAGTCTGTATTATGTCCTCCAACATAAAAGAAAAGGGGAGGGAAAGGGGAATTACAAGTGCTTCCTTAGCGACTAATAGAATAACTTTCCGGGAACTAATACCTAATGTATTGGATAGCAAAATGGTACATTTCAAGGGCCAAATGTTCATCTGGCATGGGCATTAGGTTGGTGCTTGGTCTTCCTTTTGGTTGCTTTCTTTCTCTTCCTTTCAGACTGCGGCTCTCTAATTTTCAAGTCAACGGAGAAGGCCCTCAATAAGGTAGATAGATGCTCATTTCGATGAGCTGAAACCAAGATACAGAACGTACGTAACTAAACAATATAGACCACAAGTTGCAGTGTAGTGATGGTGGCAGATGTAATTTATGATTTCATGAAAAGGATTAAAGATTTTTTGGGGGGGGGGGGGAGGGGAAAGGTCACTATCCTGAGAACTGAGTAAAACTAAATTCACCTGACAGTATAACATCTTCCATGTTTACAGATTTACGATTTGCATGCTGAGCAAATAGTTCAACATCCTTAGCCAGCTGCTCTGCTTGCAAGAAAGCAACTTTGATTTATTAATTCAATCGCGCAGATCACTGGCACTTAATAACACGCAACAAGCTCACTTCATTTTTCACGCCTTCTGACAATAAGCCTAAGGCCAGCTGCAACATACTGATAAACAGTACTATATATTCCTTTCTCCGTAGTCTACTTCAGTGACTTATATTCTAAGCAAATCACTATACCTTTGGTTCTAGAAGATACATCTGATAATAGACAACGGACAGTTATGAGGGCAGATTCACTCAGTACTTGTGCACTCTATTCGAAATTGCAATTGGCATTGAAGTATACAGCTTTATCATACATGCGATAAATATTTCCCCCCGAAGCATAGCATAAAAACAATCATCAACATCTTGACAGCAACAAAAACGAGGCATACATATTATCCAAATAAAAGACGCGATATATCAATTATTTGGAGACTAAAACTCATCAGCATGGAAAGTCTGCATTAATAATAAATCTACAAGAACATGATTATATTCATTTTATTCCCCGAATGAATCTACATGTTACGGTGGATCAGTGGCCTGCCTCCTTATGTGATAAGGCCAGTGATATAAGCAGCAAGCAAAATGCTTTCAAATAAAAAAGTAAACTCTACAATAGCCAGCCGTTGCGTGTTCCACGCCTTGTAATATATTAATTCGATAAATCCAAATGGGCTTGATGCAAATACCAATGGTATGTACAATTCACTGTAGATATATTATAATTTAAAAATATTTTAAGCCAACAAACTGAAACTATACCCAATCCATCCTGTTCTCTATATTAGATATTATGATGACCCATGGAAAGAATGAGGATCACGCTGTTGCCGTATCACATGACTTCCATTAAAAAGGCTCACTAATCCATAAAATGCAGAATACAGCCGTTAATGCACTAATTTTCATCACAAACATAGTTAGATGGCATGAATTGCATGCAGACCCACCCGTCATTTCTTAATTCCATAATCCAGAGTACAATGAAGTTAGCAAGCAAGTCTATCAGTAAACTAGAAACTTTAATTCTACATCCACAAAAAGGAGAAGATAACACATTAACCGGAGAAAGAATAAGGAAAGGAGGAAGATAATACCCGCATACTTAAAGGCCAAATCAGCAATGCAAGCTACCACGACTTCCGAAGCATCCATGCCGTTCCTCTTAGCTGGGCAATGTTTTATCAAATTAAATAAAAATCCGAAGTGAAATTACAGAATCTCCAAATTCGTTGCAAGCAGGTTCGTGTTCCTTTGGCATTTATTTATTTTTGGCAGATAGAAAAACAGAAGGAGAAGCAGCCAGCGAATGAATTGAACCTTCAGCTTCAGCGATAGAGACGGCGGAGAGCCTGAACCTATCTCTCAAGTCTTGGGTTTTAGTGTCGATTTCCCTTCCTCCAACTCCTCCGGCTCCGCCAACACCTTCCATTGCGATCGATCTGATCTTCCTTTCGTCTTTGGTGCCTTCTTCACTAGTCTATGGTTGGAGGGAATTTCAATTGAAATGGCGGGGTTTATAGTATTATAATGAAGACCCTCGGAGTGCGCGCTTCGCCCCCCAAAATTAAATGGGCTACGTGGGCACCATATTGGGCCGAGATCTTATGACCTGGGTCATATCAAGCCCACCAAATAACAGTTCTATAGCGATTAGCAAATTATCCTATGGCCGAAAAGGTGGGGAGCAACAAAAACAACGGACAGAAATGGTAGTAAAATTATTATTCTCCAGAAAAAACGTAAAAATAAATAAATAAGTTATATAGCGTCTCCAAATTAAGGTTACACAATCAGCCTACTTAACTGCGTATATTGCCAATAAATGTCATGGATTTGGAAGAAATAATGGCGACTTGATACCGATCATGAAATCAAGGTAAGCTTAACATTTTTCTTTTATATACGCAATTAAAATGAATGAAATACGCAATTTACTTCTCCCAATTTAGGAAGATAATACTTGGAGAAATGACATTAAAGCCATGGATTCTGTTGGGAAGTCGATATTCCCAAAGTAGATTTTCTCTTGTTTTATGAATTTTGAAGTGTGATATTTGTAATATATGTGCAAATCATATACATGATATAAATGTTGTAAGCTCATTTGATAAAAGACGGTTGCGGCCTATGGGCAGAGATAAAAGCTCCAATACTCTAATACTACTACCTCCGGTCCTTATTATAAGACCCCGTTTGACTTTTTGTTTGGTCCTAATTATAAGACCCCAATCCATTTTGTCTCTCATATTTATACATTTTTTTCCAAGATAATCCTTCTAATAATGATAGTTCTAGCTAATATACTTAATTAGCAAAGATATTTTAGGAATGACAACACTTATTTATTACAAATAACTAACTTAACTTACTTCCTTAATCTCTTCAAATAAGTCAACTGGGTCTTATAATTAGGACCGGAGGTAGTATAAGAAAAAAAAGTTGAAAGTTCATTGATGAAATGAGTCTTTTTTGTCTTCGGCCAAAAAAAAAAGTCATTCTTGTCAAGAAATCAAATATGTTTGATAATACTCCTCCGGTCCTAATTATAAGACCCAATTGACTTATTTGAGGAGATTAAGGAAGTAAGTTAAGTTGGTTATTTATAATAAATAAGTGTTGTTATTCCTAAAATATCCTTGCTAATTAAGTATATTGGCTAAAACTATCATTATTAAAAGGATTATCTTGAAAAAAAATGCATAAATATAAGAGAGAAAATGGATTGGGTCTTATAATTAGGATCAAATAAAAAGTCAAATTGAGTCTTATAATAAGGACCGGAGGAGTAGTATAGATGATGAAATATAATTAAAAAATTGTAAATTATAAAAACCTACCTAGTATCTGAATAAAAGGGTCGTGATTCAACAAAGTCAAGTCAAACATCTTCAGCAACCGCTCCTCATCCTTTACTTCTTTAGTTCCTTCTGCTTCTTGCCCAAGTTAAATCATCATATTTGAGACCCTTCCTTATTTACCCTTCTTCACTTTTAACTCGCCACAGCCTGCCAGTGCGCCATTGAATTTCCAAAGAAGTTTTATTTTTTATATATATGATATACAAAAATGGGAGTAAATCACATTTTTCTAATCATTCGGATAGAGCAAATCGCTGCTTAATAGGAAGAGAGAGAGAGTACCTTTTTCTCGAGCCTTCAAATTCTATATATGAAAAACAGAATCAGATTGGAAAGGAAAGGCAGTTACCTTACAAATAATATCGAACCCAGCCTAAGTAGGAACAATATAAGAGAGATGAAGACGTGTTGACCTACAATGAAAGCTCCCTGCACTTCTCTTTTCTATATGCGTATGACCCTAATTCCCAAAGTTGATAATTCCAAGACAGCAGTTCATGGCACTCGAACCAGAGAAAACATGCGAAGATGCTAAATCTCCGTCTGCTCCAGCTGAAAACCTTCAGACAGAGGTTCATGTCCCCAGTAATGAAAGAACCAAAACGACAAGACACCCTCGATGGAGCAGACAGGAAACGATCATCCTCATAGGTGCCAAGAAGATGGTTGAGAATGGAGGGTCTCCGGTTTACCGGTTCAGTCACTCCGAACCAAAATGGGATTTGGTCTCATCGTTCTGTCAAAAACGCGGTGTGAACAGAGGACCTGTTCAGTGTCGAAAGAGATGGAGCAATCTTCTAAGCGATTTCAAAAAGATTAAGAAGTGGGAGACGAATATACAGCACGAGTCTGAGTCATTCTGGATGATGAGAAACGATGAACGGAGGGAGAAGAAATTGCCAGGTTTCTTCGACGGGGAGGTTTACAACGTATTAAACGGAGAAGCGTGCACTGCTTCAGCATTTCCGTTGACACTAATTAAAGTCCCAAAAGCAGAGAATGGTGATGGAGGTGCAGCAATGGCGTCGGAGCAATGTGAGGAGGAGGAGGATGAAGAGGATGAGGAGGCGGAGGCCATCGTTGACAGTGAGAAAATGGCTTGGAGCACAGAGGACGAAGCCTTTGAGATAATCACGAGTGGGAAGAAAGTCACCGATCCGTTGATTGCTTCAAGTGTTGAGGAAACAATCCCGATAAGGAATCCAGGAAAGACACCCACTCATCCTCGGCTTAGTTCAGGTACGACGTGAAGTCCCAAAGAAATCGCCTTGGTTTTGATTTTTATTTGCTTCATACCAAAGTCAGTTTTAATCTTAAAGCGTAATACAGTCATCTGAAACTCGATTTGTTAGATGATAGAACAAGTAATTACCACTGGTCAGACATGGATGGGATTCCCGATGTCTATTCATTGGTATTTCATCCAGCAGAACCAGAACCGACATCGTGAACCAAAACACGATACTATTTTATGATAAAAAAAGCATTCATGGCATTTTTTTTTTAACTTCATGCTCACGAATGTCAAGAATTAACAACGAAGAAGCTTTCCTGATCCGGCCTTTGATTGTTCAACATTATTAGCTTTTGTGACCGGCAACTTTCACATCTATCCATATCTTCTGTTTGATAAATGATTCAACAGGACATAGAGAACCCAAGCACTCACTTCTATGGAAATCTGAAGCAAATTACACAGGCTCAGGCAAGAGAATAGAGAATATGTCCATGTCCCAAGAGGGGTGCAAGAAAAGGCGAGTGTCACCAGACAACCATGAGGACACCGCAGCTTTCAGGAATCCGTTGATGAAAGTGCTGAGAAGGAATGGCAACATGCTGAAAGCTCATCTTAGCGATCAAAATATAAGTTACCAGTTGGCCAGGGATCAGCAAAAGGAGCAAACAAGCAACATAGTTGCTGCACTAGGCAAGCTCACGGATGCTCTCATAAAAATTGCTGAAAAGCTTTGAATGATCCAGAACAATATGCAAGATCCTTCAGGGGCAAAAGGAGTTACATCTGAGTACGGGAATCTTCCAATTATGCTGATTTTGCCCTAGAGTCCATGAATAATCTTTTCTCTATTTTCCTTTTAAACAGGCTTCTAAGTTTATTCCTCATATCACCTGTTAGCGTCATTGCCATTTAGTCTTACAATGCTACTTACGGTCCTCCGAGTAATTTCCTTTTCCGGATTATATAATCAATAAATGAATACCATATGAAAGATCCAGGGCATTAGCATTTTATCTAAAACTGTGTTTTCAGTTTTCTGTATTAACACTTTACATTTCCCAAACAAACAGTTTCCAGTGCTGAGAACAATTATCAGCATAAAATATCTGAACTTGAGATTTTAAGGAAGTGTGCCAGAACCACGCCTACTGATGTCGAAAGAAGGGATCCCTTGAAATGGAAAATGAAGTCAAGGAGATCCAACGAATCAGTTACTGTTTAATTTCAAATTGGTTTTTCTTCTTTTGAGAATAAGATGCGTAGTTGCGTACATCAATACCTGCGCTATGAAGATACATATAATTACATGCAGAGAATGGTCGCATACAAGGCAGAAAACAAGGCCTTACAATCTACATTAGGATTCCCCTCTAAATTATACAAGTAGAATAATCAAAATTTACCTCTCATCATCACTACACAGGAACAGCCTCAACAAGCCTGGCAAAGTAAAATTGAGTGGTGATTAAGCCTCTCTTCCTTATTTTCCAGCCAACCTTCTGCAACGCCCTCTCTACATCAGCCTCTGCGTGGAGATAGGCCCTTGTTGCCTTTGAAGGCCCTGGGAACAGCTCTCCAACCCTCTTCAATAAATCATAGTAAAATGTCTTCGGTGCAAAACTTAGAATCAATCTGTTCTTGGCCAATGATGCAAGATGTGAAATCATCCCATCAGCCTTACTCTGGGGGTAATGAATCAAGACATCTAGGCAGATCACTGTATCATATTTCCCGTCTAAGCTCTCCAAATCCTTAACTTCAAACTTTGGCATTACTAGTGCTGAACCATCTTTGCTGGCTAGAAGTTGTTCTTTCGCCTGCAGGTACAGTATGAGGTCTTAGGTTAATATATAAAGCAAAAAAAAGCCAAAAACATTAATGGACTTTTGCTTGACTTCGTTAATTCGTATGGCTACAGTGAGTTCATTTACCATTGCAACGCAGGCCAAACTACAGATAGCAGAATGCCTTGTTTGTTTCACCAATAAATTGGACAGAGGAATCTTTTAAATTATGTTATTTTCTACGTTTTTGCCCAAAGTACACATCAGCTGTAAATTTCACCACATTTTTTGAAACCGTTATGACAGTTAAAAAGGACGGTGTACTCTACTCAGAGAGCTAACCTGTTTCTCAGCTTCAGCAACCATGGCCGCGGAGATATCCGCCGCCGATACAATGGCGCCCTCTTTGGCGAGAGGAATAGTGAGAGAGCCAGTGCCACAGCCAGCGTCACAGATTGTAACTCCTTGAACCGGACCTTCATCCTTCAACATCAGCAAGGTGTTCTCAACAGTCTTGGCGTGGCCAACCCTAATGTCTCGCTGAACCTTGTTAACATCATCGGTATCTCCATAAATTTTCTTCCACCTCTGGAAGCCGGAGTTGTTGAAGTATTCCTTCACAACTTCTTTGTCATCGCCACCGACCTCCTCCGCCTGAAGCTGTCGACGCCTCTCGGGGTCAGTGAGAGAAAGTACGGCAGCAAGTGCCGCGACGGAGCCGCCGCCAATCACGGCAATGGTGGTTCCATCGATTGCTCCAGCGATATCGGTGGCGGCGGCGGTGGAGAGAGGCGGAATGGCGAATGCTGGTGCTAATTTTAGAGGCTTTGACTGTTGCGTGAGAAACTAGGAAGGCTATTGACTTTGTTCGGGAGATTAAGGGGAGACGACAAGGTCGACGAGAACGCCATCTTTTAGAAAATTTTTGTTCCTCTCACCGGCCGGTGAGAGTGGTGGGAATATGAATACGTGTAAACTTGCTGGTTGGGAAGATAATCCAGGATAAGATAGCATTCGAGCATTGGCCGATTCCCGTGGGTCCCAGCTCTTACGCCAATACGAATCCGTTTTCAAAAGTTCTTTTGTGCTTTTATGGGGGAAAAAGAGTTTCTTTTGCTAACATTTCCCTTGGGACCTGAACCAATTAAAAAAAGTGATTTTATGCTAACACGGCAAAATTACTTTTAAGCATAATTTTATAGCGTTCAAGATAAATACGTAAGGTAAGTTTTGTTTAAGCTAAAATAAAAATGTTTTTTTAAAATGTTTTTTGTGGATACTTTGATTTTTTGTTCCTTGACAAAGCACCACAAAGCTCTAATCATGTGGCAATCACACAAGGAGATAGGGGCTAGTTTCAAGTAAATTTGATTGATACTTGCTTTTCATATTTTTAGTATCAATGTTTAACATGTTTTAGTTTTTCAAATTTTCCAATAATTATTTTAAATATCTTTTATGCTCATTTTTTATATTTTTAGTATTGAAAAATAAACAATAAGTGTAGAAAATATGGAAGAATAATATTAAGAAAATGAGATGAGTGTTGAAAAAATTAATACTGATATATGGTCAGTACTGAAAATACAGAATATGGATAATGAAAAAAATAAATTATAAAATTTTAATTTCACCAAAGACTTCTTTTTTTTTGAAATTTTAAAATTTTGAGATTCTTAAATTTAATTAATGTTCTTAGGGTTTCTTGCATGTCATTTTTTTCTAAACTGAAATCGTTTGGTCCAACCTACACAGTGACATGGGCCTAGTAAAATATTGCCCTTTTCACCTTTTGTCGGAGAAATAAACATTAAATGCCCAATTTCTACCCAAGAAAAAGGAAGGAGGCCTGCAGACATATTCTTGTTTTTACCCGAAGGCAAGCCCAAAGATGAGACCCAAACAAATAAAACGGGGGAAAAAAAACCGTAATTCATCCACCTGGAGTCCGGGGTCTAGTGGCCGTCATCTTCAATTTATTTTCTGCGACGAACTGCAGCACATAATCGGTTGCGGGCGCCTTGTTAGGCCAAGAACATCCATCACAACGCGCCACCATCTCCCCGGATTTGGTTCGTCTCTATTCCTTTCCTTTCATATCTTAGTTCCTAGATTTGTTTAGAGAGGATGTTTAGTTGCCGAGAAGATGATTTGTTAATCTTCATCTCTCACCAACTAAAACACATTGTGGCGGCTTCCTAAATCTCTATTCCTTTCCTAATTGCATCTCTTTTGATTTCATTGTTTGAACTTACCAAAGACTTGATGGGCAAGGAAAGCGAAGTTTCGGCAATGGAAGTCGACGATCCAAAATCGAATTCTGATCAGATCGTTCCCAAATTCTCTATTAACGGTTTGCCTTTTAAAATTTCTTTTCTTCCTCACTGCATGCACCTCTTCATTAATATACTTCTCTTTGAATCGGCTCCATAGCGTGCACAGCTGAACGTTTGATAATTTTCAAAATAATCAATGCTTTATGTCTACAATTTTTGGCAACTAAATTGCGAATACACCAGCTTATGATGAGACTTCGGTCACTCAGTTTGATTTTGTATTTTGTCTTCCAGTACTGCAACTCTTAAAATCTGCGCAAATGCAGCATGGCTTGCGGCACGGAGATTACACTCGTTATAGGTATGTACTTCTTATCATTGTTGATATGATTTCAATTAGGAATTAGTTTATCCGTGTTTAGATGTTTTTTTAGTCTCGGAGAATAACACATGAGAGACACATTATTGAACTACAATGTTCTACTTCTATCACCATATGTCACATGTCAGTTTTGTTTTTACTCTCCTTCTGCTTTGTTAATTTACATTTCTTCACTTTGTTTACCTTAGTGAGCCACGGTGAACTTTGAGTCTTACAGTACAGCATTTGTTTGACTTAGGTGGGAAGTGGTTTTATGGTCTAACTGATCGTTGCGACTTATGGAATCAAGTAATTGCTTTATATGATGAAATATCACTAGATAGCTAATGGAAGTTTTCCTCTCCAACACTGCAGGAGGTATTGCACTGCTCGTTTGAGGAGGTTATATAAATCTTTGAAGTTTACCCACGGCCGTGGCAAATACTCAAAGAGAAACATTTCTGAATCTACCGTTACTGAAGTAAGGTATGCTTTGCTGTATCTTTCTGTTTTTGATGCAAACTCTGCTATCCCTTCTGTCTAATTGACTTAGATTGAAATTGTTTTTGAAGACAAAAGTATCTTCATTACTATCAAATTGTCTTTGGGTTCTTTGAAGAATTACAGACTTATATAGCCATCAATACTAATTAAACCCGAAGATTGTTGAGGATCCAACATTATATTGGTCAGAGTTAACATTGTTTAGATCTGTAAACAGCCGCCAATTGTGTTGGTTTAAAAAAAAAAAAATCACCAACTACGGGGTTGGAACCATGAAATGTTGGCTTTATTACAAGCCATTCAAAGAAATAATAGAATGAAGTTTGGTCTGAAACTTTTACGTTAAAGTAGACTGATTTAGCTTTCCTGTTGGTAGGACAATACTGCACTGAATCCCAGGAAAAAAAAAACCCCATGTCTTTGATGATTTGGTCTCAGGACTCTCAAATGCTTGTTTATTTTGCGTGCCTGTGATTGCCAGTACCTGAGAATGTCCCTAAAATGATTCTTATGATGTTGGGAAAGAGGATCCTTAATTGTGTGGGTTATTTGATTTCAATTCAGGTTTCTTCATATAGTTCTCTATTCAGCAGAGAGAGCTTGGAGCCATGCCATGGAGAAAAGACAACTTCCAGATGGTCCAAATGCACGTCAAAGAATCTACTTGATTGGCAGGTTGCGGAAAGCGGTAAAATGGGCAGCTTTGTTTTCACAACTTTGCACAGCCAAGGCAGACTCTAGAACATCTTTGGAAGCTGAGGTGTGTCTTTTAGTCATTGTTTCGATAAATCTATCTGGTGACCAGTTTTGCTTTATAATTTCTACATTTTATGGGCTTATAGTTTATTTCCAAAAGTATTTTATTTTTCTTTTGCATTTTGTTTCTTTTTCTTTTTTCTGACATTGTTTTCCTACTCACATATGCAGATCGGATCAATTTAGCATTTTAAATGTTTTTCTTTTTCTTTACCTCTATTCAGCCCCTTTCTATTCCCCACTTTAATTTTTACTGATCAAGAGTGAAAATGGCATTGTTTTTGTGTTTTGTTTACCGAGTTGTAGGCTTATGCATCCTACATGAAGGGGAGCTTATTGTTTGAACAAGATCAGAATTGGGATGTGGCTTTGATGCACTTCAAAAGTGCAAGGTTGATCCCATTGTCTCCCTTGTTTTTGTGCCCTCACATGCTATGTTTTTGGATGCTTTTTCTTTTTTGTTTAAATTGTTTGAGATTTTAACCGTCCCTTTATTTTACAGGGCTGTGTATGAAGAATTAGGGAAATATGGAGATCTGGATAATCAAATTTTATGCCGTGAACGAGTTGAGGAATTAGAACCTAGTATCAGATACTGTCTTCACAAAATTGGCCAGTCAAATCTGCAAGCTTCGGAGCTTCTACATATTGGTGATATGGAAGGTCCTGCCCTAGACCTTTTCAAAGCTAAATTAGAGGTTGGTCTTGATCTCCCCCCCCCCCCCCAATCAATGATTTAAGTTGGGCTTAGCTTTTGCAAATCAACATATTGCTATATTTTGTGCGGACTTATGCTTTTAGTTTAAATACATTTCTTTATAGCCTTAAGCCATTAGCGAATGAAGCTTCATTTATGGTTCTAATTCAACGTATTCTACAATATTCATGAGAGTTTTTGTTGAAGCAATAAGCTCTTTGTTTGAAAGATAATGAGCTTATATGTACAACTGTTATGTTGAGGAAATACAAAATTAAATTATGGTCATTTCAGGCTGTTATGGCAGAGGCAAGATCTCAACAAGCTGCTTCCATGACAGAGTTTCATTGGCTTGGCCATAGATTTCCGATATCAAATGCAAAAACAAGGGTTGCCATTTTAAAAGGTTGGTATCTTTTTTCTCCCATAACTCAGAAGGGCACCAAATTGAGAATTTGAGCTAACTGTTGCTTAGTTTGTATTCATCCTTCTCAAATGTGAGTTTGGCTACTTTGTCTCACTAGTTTGATAATTATATATATATTATGCTTTATATATATAATTATTGTGTGCGCGCATGCATTAACATTTGATAATTCCCCTTTGATTTTTTCTTTGGTTCAGCTTAGTTTAAATTGTCTCAAGCAATGTCTGTATTTGACTTATTTTCTCAGCTCAGGAGCTGGAGAAAGATGTACATGGACCCTCTGCCGATTCAATCCCAGCTGATAAAAGGCTTGCTACTTTTGACAAAATATTTTCAGCATATCATGAAGCCAGAGGCTATATTCGGGCTGACCTGGTAATGAAAATCACTTGTATATTATGTTCAATTATAAATATGCTGAATCCAGCTCAGGGTGGGGGGGTGGGGATTTTGAGCAAAGGATTGTTAGTTCAATTCTCTTGTACAAAAATAGAGGGTCATATATGTCCTTTGGTTTTCTTTCCATATCATATAATTTATTATCAATTTTTATGTATTTTACATATTTTAGGCCACTGCTGGAAGTGCAGAAAGTGTGAAAGATGAGCTATATGGTCTTGATAAGGCTGTCAGTGCTGTCCTAGGTGAAAGAACTATTGAGCGCAACCTCTTGTTGGTTAAGGTTGCAAAAAGTAAACTCGCTAGGCGCCGTGATGAAAAAAATGAGAAAGTCACAAAACCTGAAGAGCTTGTTCGCTTATATGATCTCTTGCTGCAGGTTGACATCAATGATGTTTTTTCTTTGTTTGTACTTCTGTTGGTTCATTGCTCTTTTTTTATTTATTTTTAAAATTTAAAGATCCTCCAGCCTGTTGTGTGCTTTTAATGTTATGCATCTCAGAGAATGACAAGGATTGTATTAACCATATATGTGGCAGAATACTGCTGATCTTTCTGATTTAGTTAGTTCTGGAAGGGATAAAAAACCAGAAGAAGTGAGCTTTGCAGAAGAATGTGCAAGCAAAACTTCGGCTTTTCGTGCAGAAAGGTTAGCTTCCTTAAACCAAATATTTTGTTGCTTCTTTTCAAAAGCATCCTTTAGTTGCTCGTCCTTTAGTACTGACTGGCAACCTTTTCTATCAAGTTCCCTACTTTGTTATACTACTATTTAGAAAGAAGATTCTTTCCTTATTTTGTTTACCAATTATTCAAGTTAATATGAGTCATGCTTATTGTTGTTCCTTCCAAGAGCTTTGCTTTTCATCTGTTAAATGCCCTTTGATAGTAATATATCTTCTTAATGCTTCTAAGACTACCTCAGCATTTCAAATGCCATGTGGAAGTTCCACCACTTATGTATATTAGCGTTATCATCTTTTTCCTCCTGTTATGTATTTATGCGCATGACTAAGTGTAGAATGGCAGTTGACTTTTGTTTTTTTGGCCTTTTTGGGCTCACTGTTTCAGTTTAATTTTTTTTTTTAAATTGAAATTTATCTTGCAATTTCATATTCTTCCATCCACAGCCAACAAGCACCTATATTTTCTATCAGAGCTTAAAAGGATCTTGCCATCGGATCTAAATTGAGGTGTTTCCAACTGAATGTGCAGGTGTTTTTATGTGGCAAAGTCATATAGCATGGCTGGAAAAAGGGCTGAAGCTTATGCTTTGTACTGTCGTGCTCGTGATTTGGCAGAGGATGCCCTAAGAAAACTTAAAATGTTAGATGGCAACAATCAGGTAAAACTAATCACTTTTTAAGATCTGACTGCCGCTCACCTTCTTTAGCTCACTCCAGTTGCATTCTGGTCACCTTTACAGCAGAAAGCACTTGGTTTTCAAGTGCAAATCCTGTTGATCCTTTTCATTTTCTATGCTAAGTTGGTTTGGATTTAGACTTTGCTGATGTTTGGGGAAACTTGTGATGATAAACTGTTGGGTTTCTAACTGTTGTCTTATTATCATATTTAAATTTTGTACACAGTATTTTGTTTAAAAAAAAATAAATTTACAAGCTGTAGTAGTGAAGCACTATGATTTGATTTGATTGTTTACTTATTTGCTCTCTTCACTATTTGTACATGGTTTGACAGACTATGATGAAGGATTTGGAGGGCTTATGCAGTGAGTGCAGATCTAACAGTTGCATAGAGCATGCCATGGGGATTATGGAGGAGAAGAGAGCTCCGGATAATCTCTCTAAAAGGATATCCAACATCTCGTTGACTGGAGATAAGCAGGTAGTATTTACTGCTCCTCAGCTTGTTAATATAGGAGCTAATTAGGGAATTAATGTTAGTCCTATATATAAGACTTATTTCACATGTGTATCAATTTTTTTCCAAATTAACCCTATTGATATTCCCCAAATAATAATCAAATAAGAGAGAGAGGGAGGGAATTAAGAAAGATGCTTAGGGTTTTTTAGAAAAAAAAATATCATATTAACTAATTTATAACATCCTTAATTTACTCAAATTAGTTAATTAGATCTTATATTAAGCACGAGAGGAGTATTTAGCATTCACCAATTCCCTTGTTGCAAGTTCCTCTACTTTTCAATGGTCGTTCTGTTTTTTCTAGTGCAACATAACTCAGTTGCTACAAGTCAGGAGACATGCCACTGTTTGCACGAACCTTTATTTATATATTCTGATGACATATCAATGACTGTTTCAGCTGGAGAAGTTCCTCACGGAGAAACTTGATGCCTATGAGTCGGCTGTCGGTGATCCTAACGTAAAAAGTGCTCCCCGCATTGTAGCTTTCCCACCAGCTTTCACTGCAATTCCGCGCAATCCTATTGTGCTGGACCTGGCATTTGATATGATAGACTTCCCAGCCATCGACAACAGGATGAAGAAGGATAGAAAAGGTTTCATCAGTAGAATATTTGGATGAGCATCCGAGAGTTTTCTAGTTCGTTAAGTTCAAAATTCTTGACAACTAATCTGTCATTTACCCTTGTATCAATTATTGTTAAGAATTCTGAGGTGTTGATATGAAAATTTTGGTCAGATCTATGGATAATTTCGGCCTAATGATTGTACTATCACTGCCTTGTTAGAATACAATATTGGATTATAATCTGCGAGGTTGGGTTGTTCATGGCATACTTCAAATACTGAAAATGCTGTCTCTGAAGGTATATGGTGCAAGAATTTTGCACGTGTCTGGACCCAATACAGTTCCAGGAACAGTTGCATGAGGGTGGCAGGATCATGGTAATGATGTCTAGCATTTGAACAAGTGAGGGCAATATCAGATCAATGATGCTGTAAAAATGTCATCATTTGATAAAGCGACGCGGGCACCCAGGAACAGTAGACATACTTTGTCGAAGTCCTGGACTTAGGAGCTGAGCATCGAGTAAGTTTGTCTTGGCTCAGGGTCATGATTGCTTGCCGCAGCTTACTTTTCTCCAGTAACCTGCATTTTCTGATAGAATTAGCTAAGAATATAGGATAATATCAAATTATTCATCAATATCAATATTAAATATAAAAAAATTATATCATTTATAAGTTATGATGATTCTCATTTTTGGACTCTTTATAATGTAAGACATTCACATCAAGATGTGCAGTGAGTACTCGAAGTGATTTAGCAGAATCTTCGTTAGGACTGGCCCACCCCGATAATAGATGGATGAAAATGGAAGTGGAGGGTTTAAACAAAAACCAAAACAAAAAAAAAACAAGGGAAAATCTCAAAAAAGTGACTACTGAATTTCAAAATGCCAAATCAGGAATTACTACAAAAATGGGTTGTCATTTGCTCTTTGAATGTAATCATTTTCTTTATGAGTGTAGTAACAAATATTGATTTAAAATTTTGAAATTCAGCTATTATTTTTTTGGGATTTTTCCAAAAAACAAATGGGTTATCCTTATTACTTTTATAATAGTTTTGACTCAAATCAAAATCATCTATTTGTGATTTTGAAAAATAAATAGGTGATGCTTACTATTCTTGTAATAATAGAAGAAGAGGTCACTAATGCCCAAATTTCTGCAACAACTTTCATTTTGTTCAAAGAAAAAATCACAAAAATATTCCTATTGAATTTACGTAATTTTGGCCAGCAACCACTACTGTAGTTAATACTTAAAAGTTTGTACAATTTCAATTATCGGAAAAAAAAATGAAGAAGAATATATAGTTTTAATAAATAAAAAATAAAAGATGATTGCGATGCGCAGTATCTTATAATGTGACAAAAGCAAAAGGAAAAGTTACTTGCAACTATGTACAGCATATGTGACTTTTTGCTTTTTCTTTAATTAAAACATGAGTGCTTGCAACCAGAATTTTAGTGCGATTTGAATTTGAAAATTGAAACCTGTTTGAACTTGACAGAAAAGAAAACTGAGAGAAGAAATATTACAATACACCATTACTGGAAATCTGTTTCTATGACCAAGAAACTTAAATGGTTTAGTTTTTTTTTTTTTGGAAAAAAAATAAAGTAGGGATCAAAATCCTAATTTTGAAGATGAAAGCCCAGAAATGGTGTACGGGCAAAAAGGAGAAAGCAGAGGGTTTCGAGGGGTAAACCGTAAACTAAACAACACAAGTCTGATTCAGCTCTGCATTGTGACGGCAACAAAAGTAGAGAACGATGGATGCCTCTTCAATTATCTACAGCTTCTGCGCTCTGAATGAGATGTGTCTCTGTGTGTACTCACAGGCACCTCCTCACAGTGATTACCCAACAAAGTAGCAGAGCATGCCTAACTGTTTATCAACTTTTTTTATTTTTGTTCCTTATGGTCAAGCATCTTCTCATGCCCAAGCCGAAAAAATGTGTTACACCTCCTGTCCTTATATATAAAGGTTAGTTTGAAATTTAACTGGTTCTAAATACCACGAACTAGTTTAATTTTAAGTTGATTCTAAATATAAAACCTCAATCCACTTAGTCTTTTATATTTATTCATTTTTTCTCAAAGTAGTTCTTGTAGTAATTTCACACGCCAAAATTCTATCAAATAGTAGTTTTAGCTAATACACATAATTAGTAAAGATATTTTAGGGAAGGCAACACCTATTTATTACAAATAACTAACTTAAAAAACTTTTTTAATCTACTCAAATTAATCAATTAGCTCTTATATCAAGGATCGGAGATAATATAAGACTCTAATCCACTTTGTCTCTCATATTTATTCATTTTTTTTCTTAGATAAATTTCATAGTAGTTGTACCTGTTAAATGTTTCATCAAATAATAGTTTTAACTAATATATATGATTAGTAAGGATATTTTAGAAAAGACAAAACCTATTTATTACAAATAATTAATTTATTTTTAAAAATTTATTTAAATAAATTAATTAGCTTTTATATTAAAGACTAGAGATAATATATTTAATAGAAAATTATTTTTATGTTACATGTATATGAAATAAATTATTTAAAACTGAAAGTGAATGGGGCATACGCCTCAATACCAAAAGGCGCCACATCGGATCCGGATGAGCGCTCTTGAAAAGAATAATAATCTTTTTATGTAATAAATTATTTTCTCACTTTCTTATTTTTACTACTTTTATTGCCCAATTGCGCTAATTGCTCTCTAAATTGTGGAGGAAGTGGGACGTAGTTCGACTCTACGTCCATCCCATGCAAAAAATGCTCTTTCTTCTTCTTCTTAACCATGAGATAAGAATATTCTTCTAACCGAGTTTTAATAAATTCAATCACAATTATTGAGTCGTTGGAGATTTCCCAAATGGACAAGACAAATAATAGGTTTAGAAAATTTCCCAACAAGGGCCATTAAATCCATGCTTTGACCTGATATTTTTTGCCAACATTTGACCTGGAAATTCATAATCTAATGATTATGAACATAAAAATATACACACAGGATGTTCTTAATATAAGACCTTATTTAATCTTTATTTTAGTCCTAAATATAAGACCCTAATTTATTTTGTCTCTCATATTTATGTATTTATTCTCAAAGTAATCTTTCTAGTAACGGTAGTTTTAATCAATACACTTAATTTATAAAGATATTTTAAGAAAAATAACATATATTTATAACAAATAACTAATTTAAATTATTTTTTTAATAATTTCAAATTAGTTAACTAATAATTAGCAGATAGTATAATCGAATAAATAAATCCAGACAAATGAATTGTGGGGTTGGACCAGTAAGGCAAATAATAAAGCAGGCCACCATTGTCGGCTTCTTTCTTTTTGTCCGAAAGAGAACTACGGGGATACGTGAAGACGACATGTTGTGGCACGATCAAGAGAGAGGAAGAGGAGAACAGTTAGAAAGAGAAACACAAAAAGGCGGGTGAGATTTCGAGCGACGGACACGAAAATTCGCTTCCCCTTACTTAGTCATCAACTTTCATCAGCATTTCACACTCTCTTCCCCTTCCTTTTCCTTCAAATGCGCTCTGAATATTAAATAATATTAATTTTAACTCAGCAACAACCAAATTCCTCCCTCTCCCTATAGAAAAATTCTATTCACAACAATTCTTTTCTTCTGCAAAGAACAAAAAGAAGACGACGAGGACAAAGAAGAAGAGGAAGAAGAAGCATATTTATTCATTTTTCCAAAATGCATTTCGCTAAACTCGATGATTCGCCAATGTTCAGGCAACAGGTTCTCTGTCATTCTCGATATTGCGCTTTCATTTTTCAATGGAACGGATAAAGCATTAATGTAATTGTGGTTCTTCCAATCTCATGTTGTTATGAGTGTGAGATAGTGGTTTTATGCATGTATTGTGGATTTCCATTTATGAATGTCTTGATTGGTGTTATTTGTAAGCAACGAAGAGGTGTCTTTGTCTTTTGAATGTCGAACGCCTGGAGAATGTGTTTTATGGCAGAGCTGGACACTTATGGAATGCTTATTTTGAATGGTTGTGGATGCAGCTGCAGTGCCTGGAAGAAGGTGTAGATTCATTACGGGCGAGATGCCAGAAGTTCTACAAAGGATGTCGGAAGTACACGTATGTTTTGCTCATATAAATGGTCTTGTTTGTTGAACTTCGCACTCATCCTACATCTCCCTTGTTTTTTTAGCATTTGGAAGTTATGCTTTTACAGTCTCTTGCACGTGTTGTGAATTTTCACGTATTATTACTTAGTCGCAGAAAGATTATTAAGCGAATAACTTGGAATATAAAAGCACGTGAAGTTTATATTAGTTGAAGGAGACCCTCAGTACATCCTCCTAAGCGGATGGAGACCTGGGGAAAGAGTTAAAAATGGAGAGTATCCCAACCTCCTAGAAGTTGCAAGACGGACTTACTTTAACGCAAAGGACGCACTAAGCTTTTGCTACTCGAGCAAGAATGAGTCACCGTATGATGTCTGAGTCTGTCATTGAAAGCAAACTGCGACGAAATGTTTAATCTTCTCTTGTCCTAATTAGGTTACTAGATAGAAATAATTTAAGCTTTGCAAACAGACGTTGATTTCTGTATTGACGAGTGAGATAGCTCAAGGGCCTTTTGAAGTCCTCTATTGCTATTATTTTTCAACCTAAGTTTGTGAATAAATGAAGAATAAAAAAAATACTGTTCCCCCCCCGCCCCCAAAAAAAAATCTATATGTAAACACACACACACACAAGCCACTTGGTGGTCTGAGTGCACTTTTCTTGCTAATGTTCAAATCTGAGACAGCATAAATCCACCAAGATAGCCTTTTGCTCGCTTCTCTTTCTCTTTGAAAACTTTTGAAACTTGAATGCAAGAGGAAACATGTTTTGTGTAAATTCCTCCAGCAAAGTGGAACTTTTTTGTAGGAGCAAACCGAGTACATGTGTAGCTTATACCTGAACGGTTTAGATCAACATTTTTGGTTTAATGAGTCATGATTTTTATCATCGCAGTTGACTGGACATTTTCCTGGACACATTTCGCATTCTGTGAGGAAAAAAAAAATTATGTCTAGATTTATTTAATGTTTTTCAGGGAAGGTCTTGGTGAGGGATATGATGGGGACATTGCTTTTGCGAGTGCCCTTGAAACTTTTGGGGGAGGGCATGGTGATCCTCTTTTTGTTGCTTTGGGAGGTAAATCTCATTGCTGTCCTTCCTCTTCCATTTTGATTTTTAACAGCTAGAATTAGAATGACTTCGCCTGTAACATGCTTAGATGAGATGAAACTGGATATGCGCATACTTCGATGTTGTACCCAGGATTATATATTAGCCCTGAACTGACATGAAAATTTAGGTTGAAGAATTCAAGGTATTGTTGCTGGTCCATTTTTAAGCATGATATATTTAGGAAATGTGGTCAAAGTTGGTTGAGTTATTCCAAAGCATGTCTCACTTATCTCTTCATCTAGCTTTTCTATTAACGTGCTTCTTTTGAATATAGCGTAACTTGTTTTAATAAATAGAATCCATATAATTTGTATTTAATTTTAATTTATTTTTGGAACTCCCAGGACCTGTTATGACCAAATTCACTATTGCTTTGAGAGAAATTGGTACCTACAAAGAAGTTCTACGGTCACAGGTTATAATTAGTTTAGTTTGGTCAATTGTTTTTCCATTTTGTTGCTTTTCTTTTATAAAAGGTTAAAACTTTTTCCCCTCTAACTGCTAATTCTAGAATAAGGAAGCCCTTTCAATGTCCATAAATGTTATAAATAGGTACTGCAACTTTTTCAATCTTGAAGAATATTCAGATTCTGATACAATTGTGCAACTATCAATTATAAACTTGTCATTAGACTATATGCCTCCTTTATAGCCATTTTTCCACGCACAAATCCTTTGCCAGTTTCTTACATGGCCTGTAACAAGTTGTTTTGACTGTAATAGTAATGTATATAAACAAGACATTTTCTAAAACTTTTGGCTTTCCATTCTTTTAACTATTGAGCATCTACCCTGACAATACTGTTAAGCTGTTGACTTGTGCTCCTGGACATCTTGGATGCTAGTGTGCCAAGCATAGGCATTTTGAGTGCCTTAGAGATAAGAGTCAGGAAGAAAATGATAGTGTACCAGATAGCTCCATGGTTTTACAAGCGTTGTTTCTTTTCTTTTCTCTTTCTCCTTTTTATTTCCCCCCTGTTGATTAGAGGCGATTATTCCAACTGATATTGCTGCACTAACTATAGTTAATATGACTCTTTAGGTGGAGCACATGCTTAATGACCGGTTGTTACACATTCTCAATGTTGACATCCAAGATGTTAAGGTAGAAGCTTTCAACATTTTCATAATCTGTGTACCTTATGCCAAAAGAAAAGATTGAATGCATGTACCTTTTTTTTGGCCAACTGAATGTGTATACTTTATTTTCTAGGCATATGTGGAGAAGTCACTGGCTTTTATCAGTTAAAAGTTTTTTAAATGACCCAAAGAGGTCCTTTTTCTTTTGCGGTCATTTTCTTTAAAAGACTCCATCCTATATTGGGTGGTTGCTTCAAGCAATCTTATCTCAGCTGTAAATTTAATGGAGAGAATGGTCAATTCATTTAACATGGTTCTAATAGTTCAAAAGTAACGATGATTGGCAATCATGACTACTCTAATCAGTAAACACTATGCTAAAATAACTTCATCTATCAGTTTAGACCCTGGAGACTGACCTTTGATTGATTTTAGTGGAAAAACTCCTCTACGAAATTAATGCCCCAGAAGTTGCTTTTTGTTTGTAACGAAATTTCCAGATTATTATGTCTTCAAATATCTGGTCCCTCTTTAATGCTTTAGTGTTGCCTGCAGGAAGCTCGAAAGCGGTTTGACAAAGCTTCCCTTGCATATGATCAGGTATTTCTCATCTTTCTTTAAACGTAGCACAGCATATTCACACTACATGCAGTGCTCTTTTCTTTTCTTCTATGATTTGTGTATGATTCTCCAGCTGTGCCATTTACAATGAGAGAAGTATATGTGCTTACTGAGTGCTTCCTTTATTCCGTTTTTATCTTTCCTTGTTAAATTGATTGTAACATTCTCTTTATTATTTTTATTCATAGTAGGAGTCGGATTATATTGTTCATGTTTCACAAATCATGTTTGGCTAATTGCCTGAAAGAGTTAAATATTAAGGGCGCCTCAAATTGCTTGAAAGAACTGATATGCATTAGTAAATTATCTACATGGAGTGGTTTACAATATCTCTGATACGAGACAAGTGAGATAGAAGAGATAAATTCTAGAATAAATGGGTAGGCTTGTAACTACTAACCAATGATCATGCATGTAAGCCATAAAAGTCTGTTAGCCAGCCTCTTGAGTATATAAGGGGGGAATGGCCGCTCACTTACATCTCGGAAGGAACTATTGGCAAGTCTGTACCAACCTCCAAGTCACTAGTTGAATTATGTTTGTCAGTGGTCCTAATTTCAACTGTTAAGAAATGATAGACAATGTTCTTGATGTCATTGTGGTCATGATTTTGTAAAAGCAAGATGCACGTTTAAATTAAATGTTTCTAGGGGAGATAATTTACAACTGACATAAGGTGCGCATCTTGTGCTTCAGGCACGTGATAAGTTTCTGTCATTGAGAAAGAGCACTAGAATGGATGTTGCTGCTGCCATCGAAGAGGTACGCCCAGTTTATCTGTGACATCAATCGAAGTTAAATTTTGGTCCAATAATAAACCCAACAGCTTGTCATGGGTTACCGTGTTCCTTGTAAATCTAATTTGGTATTGACACATTCCAGGAATGGCACAGTGCAAGAGATTCATTTGAGGAAGCTCGTTGCAATCTGGTAATTTCAATTCCAAAATGTTGCAATGAATGATTACCAGATGTATGTGTTTTTGTCTTAACTACATCACACACACACACACACTGACTGTACAGGTTAGTGCTCTAAATAATGTTGAGGCCAAGAAGAGATTTGAATTTTTAGAGGCCGTCAGTGGAATTATGGATGCTCATCTTCGATACTTTCAACAGGTATATGACATAGTGATATGTTTCGCACCTTTTCCTACTAGTACTGCATTTATGCTGCTTGAAAATGGAATTTATCTCTCTTGCAGGGATATCAGCTATTGCATCAGATGGAACCTTTCATTACTGAGGTTTTGCCACTAGTCCATTCATTCTTTTGCTTGTAACTTGATGCTGATTGCACATATATTTATTTCATATGTAGAGCAGGTGTATTTTGCTTATAACTTCCCCCTCTAAAAATATAAACCTAGCAGCTGAAACAGTATAGATGCAGTTATAAACTACAAGTCTACAGCAGATCAAAAAATACAAGTACAGTGTATTCCTGAAATTTATACCCTTGAATGATCGATTGGATCATCCTTGATGTTACTCATCACTTATGCCACAAGGAAATGTATAAAGTATGGAGGGAAGTTGTAGGAAATTATTATTAACATTTCTGATTAATTTGGGGAACCGAAGACTTCTTTTGCTGTAGATGAGGTTCCTCTATATTCTTTCCCTACTCATACAGAAGACTACTAGATTAGGACCAAAACAATTTCTGTTAATTGCGGCAAAGTGAGAAAGTGTTAAATGTTATAGTCCTCCATAAGATTCTAGTTATTGTTGCAGAGTCAGGCTTCACTACACGAACAATGATGTATTTCTGTGAACTATGTTTTTCTCAGCTTAATAGTGGGAGGATTTGAATGCCATATATATAACTCAGCTAGGTTTCAGGTCTTGGCTTATGCACAGCAGTCAAGAGAAAGTTACAATACGGATCAGATCTCACTAAATGAAAAAATGCAAGAGTACAAAAAACAAATTCACCAAGAAAGTAGATTGTCTTTAAATGGCCCCCATGGTTCTCCTGGAGAATGTGTACAGCCTTTTTCTAAGATATCAAATGAAGTGGTAGATGCAGTAAAAGAATCTGCTGCAAATGGGAAGGTATTTTCTGGTGTGATGTCTTATGTTTTCCTCTCTCTAACAGAATTCGTACTTATTCTACGTATTTTCATTTGAGAAAAATTCACAATTTTAGGTTCAAATTATTCGACAAGGATTTCTTTCAAAACGCTCCTCCAATCTGAGGGGTGACTGGAAGAGGAGGTATTTTGTCCTTGATAGCCGAGGAATGCTGTTCTATTATCGCAAACCATGGAACTTGGCGCATGTAAGTTACTGGCTAAAGTTAAATTGTAATATTCTGGTAAGACTGTTGGTGTCAATGAAACATATGGGAGGAAACCGAGGAAGACGTAAGGGATAGAAGGGAACGAATCTGCTGGTCCAAGGATTTATTATAAGGCTCCAGATTATAAGGAACCAAAATGATGAACTAGTCTGCTCTTGGCTTAGTCCAGGGGCTTGGGGCTATGTTTGGGAGGTGTAAAAGTTACCTTTTGGGTTATATTGTCCTTGTGGACATATTGATTGAGTTTGGCAAGGGTGAGTCTCTAGCCCCTTGGAAGCTAGAGAAGGTTTGCTGATCCTTTTGTCCAGTGTTTAGTCTCTATTTTCTGTACTTGTTGCTTTTAGAGTACCTTTTGAGTTGTAGAAGGGGAATAGGGTTTTGGCCAGAATCAGTGAAGCCACCTGTTACTCTGATTTATTCAGTGACTATTTGGCAGGGTTATATCACATTATGAGCTAGATAATGCTCATGTTTCGTCAGCTTCTTTCCTTAATAAACTTTGGATGTACCTTTTCAGAGTAGCAATCCACCATCTGTTCAGAGAAATAATGCCAATGAAAATGGGTCTGGACTTCTGAGCCGGTGGCTTTCTTCTCATTATCATGGGGGTGTCCATGATGAGCGAGCTGTGGCACGTCATGCAGTGAACCTGCTTACGTCAACAATTAAGGTTGATGCTGATCAGTCAGATTTAAGATTTTGCTTCCGGATTATTTCACCAGTAAAGAACTATACATTGCAGGTATTGATTCCTAAAACTAAATAACACAGTTTAGAGTATTATTACTACTTCAGACATACTAAAGTGAGAGAATGCAGGCAGAAAATGCAGTTGACCAAATGGATTGGATAGAAAAAATGACTGGAGTAATTGCTTCCTTGTTGAGTGTTCAGTCAGTAGAAATGGTACATAGTAGATTTATCTCTTAAAAATGCATCCCTGGATGCTAGTGTTATTTGTGATTACTATAATCATGAAAATAATTATATGACAGCCTCTCACAGCTGACTCTGAAAGCGGTGGATGTTCCTCTTCAAGCAAGAGTGATACGCTGGAAAACTTTCGAGATGATATTCAACCAATGAGTAAGGAGTGTGCGTCCAAGAACATCACTTCTACTGGTCATTTGCGTGAATATAAAAGTTTTCAGTTGCATAAACAGAGTACAAGAGGTGAAAAACCAATTGATGTTCTCAGAAGTGTAAGTGGGAATGACAAATGTGCTGATTGTGGTAAACCTGAACCAGAATGGGCATCCTTAAACCTTGGTATTCTCATATGCATCGAGTGTTCTGGCATTCATCGTAATCTTGGTGTACATATATCAAAAGTAAGTAGTTTATGTTGCATATTTACATTTAAATCTCAGTGGTGTTTATGTTCCGTGTCATATTATGAAGATTTACTTGAAAGCTGGAGATTGGCACAAGGATTTGTTATGTGAAAGCACTCACTATATCTGAGTCATCTGACTATAAAATAACTGACGAAATATATATGTATATTTATAACTGCCTATGTTAGTGTTTGCTATTTACATTTGCATAGGAGACAGATAATGGCTGTCCTGTCTGAAAGGAAAATACTTGATGCTATCCTGTCTGAAATAAGGAGAAAGTAAAATTGCGTAACGTGACTTCTAAGATTGGCAAGGGCCAAACCCTGCAAAATATGAAGACAAAAAGGCTGCAATCAATAGATTCAGGCTATATGACTGTGCTTAACATAATCTTGGATCCTAGAAACTTTATATTACCTTTGATTTTTAATATAAGAGTTGGATAACTAATTTGCGGATATTAAGAAAATTAGTTTAGTTATCTGTAACTAATGTGTCTTGGTTTTTCTAAACTATTTTCTATAATCACGTGCAGTGGGACTACTAATTGATTGGAAGCTCTTTAATATGTGCAATCAATAGAGGTGCTTTTGGCAAAAAATTATAAATTTAGAAGATAAAGTGGATTGAGATATTATATTTAGGACTAAATTAAACCCTTTATCGACTGGATTTAGTATCTAGGTTGGAAATAATGAAAACATTGTGTCACTATAAATACATGTTTACATAAAATAAAATGTTGTGGATTGAAAAAACAACTGCTTATCAATTGTCTTTAAGACATGTAAAAGGTAAATCTTGCTTCATATTGTATCACTTAACTGTGGGGCTAAATGCGAAGTGATGCTTTTATACTTTTTTTTTTTTTGGTAGTCATTCTCTCCTCTCTCCTCTCCTCTCCTCTCTCTCTCACCCATAGCTCTAGTTAATTGTCATTTTTGCAGCTGAAGTGGAAAACATATTTTTGCAGGTAAGATCACTGACACTTGATGTGAAAGTTTGGGACCCTTCCGTTCTAACTATGTTTCAGTCCCTAGGCAATCATTTTGCAAACTCAGTTTGGGAAGAGAAGTTGCATTCAGCAAGTGAAATGCAAGCTGATGGCAATACTATTGAGTAAGTGTTTCCAAGATTTATGGGTTTAATTGCTTGGACTTATTTAAGAGTTATAATGATGCACTTTTTCCAACAGCGACAGAAACAAATTACTCCGTGCAAGGAAACCAGAACATGACGATCCTATTTCATTAAAAGAGAGGTTCATTCATGCAAAGGTAAGAGTAAGGAATTACGAGTTTCTTTCTATATCATATTGATACTAAAAGAATGTTGAAGAAGTTTTCATAGTCGTCATGTAAGGAATTCTTAGCTCTTTGTTTTTAGCTTAAGGAAACAATAAATATATCATAGTATCTTACTAGTTTGGCATACATAGAGATTTCCCAACGCATAGTAGGGTGATTGAGTTGTTTACCTTCGATCATCTGCTTTCTGAGGCATCACATACAAACTTATCTAACAAGGTTGGTGCTCTATATTCTGATCCCTGCATCCTATATAATCTGTTGGTCGCCTGTTTTGTGACCGATAAAAGAAATCTTCTAACGAGTTAACTCATTGTTTTGTTAAGAGTATTAACCTTCCTGGCCACAGTAATAATCTTAAACAAAGAAGCAAATGATATACCATTTTACAAGTAGATCGGTGGCCACATTGTCTTTTGAGCTTGTAGTGTAGATCTTCGCCAACCTGTTTAGGGGTTTTGAGTAATGTGCTCAAGTTTTCTCTTAATTTATCAGCCTCATCCCCTGGAGTCTTGGCCATCCATTCTTTATCTACACATTTTCATAGTCTAAGAGTGTGCACTTCTACACTTTGCTCCTTCCCACTTTAGTGAAAGTAATGGTAATTGCTGACTGTGCTTATCTTGTATGCATGCTGCTTCTTATATAAAGTTGAAACTTCTGCTTTGGTGGAAAACTTCTAGTAGTCGGTAGACAGTAATCTCATTATATGATGTAACATCATATCTGGGAGATGTAACTGGATGTTTTCCCATAATGCAGTATTCTGAGAAAATCTTTGTCGATCAGATAAAGAATAACAACCATCTCCTTTCGGTGGCACAACAGTTGTGGGAAAGTGTCTGTGCCAATGACAAGAAAGCAGCATACCGGCATATTGTGAAGTCTGATTTGGATGTCAATGCCGTCTGTGGTCAAGAATATTTTGGTACGTCTTAATCTTACCTCTTTAACTCCAGCAAAGGGTTTAAATGCTGAAAACTTAAGAGGCCCATGATGGTTAATATGTGACTTTACAGATGATGCTTTTGACATGCCTTCTTCAAGCAATTCAAAATCTTCAGCCAGGAGCGAAAATCAGCCATTAGAGGACATACTTGATGGTTCAACTGTGCTTCATCTGGCATGCCTGACTGCTGACATTGCCATGGTGGAGCTGCTCTTACAATATGGCGCAGACATAAATGCTTCCGATTCAAGAGGTCGCACCCCACTGCATTACTGTATTATCAGAGGGAAGAATGCAACTGCCAAATTGCTTCTTATGAGGTAATAGTATTACCCGTTCTATGTATGACTTAAATGTGGCGCGTACCTGATAAGATCTGGCAACCTCCTTTTGCTGCGGTTTGTTTCTAAATACATTATTCACTTGCAGTTTATTGTTCTTCGAGTTTAATGTGTTGAACATTCAAGTGCATGCTATGTTGTATTCTGGTTGCCAAAGCAATACCTAATAAACATGCAAGCATATTAATCTATTTTTTTTTCTCTCACTAGGATGTACTTATAAAATGCTTGTAGGTCCATCCACAGTAGGTTCAATCTATCAATCATTTTATAGACTAAATTTACTCAAGAATCTCTCATCCAATCAAAGAGTTTGCCAATTATTTGCAGAGGGGCCAATCCACATGCCGCAGACGATGAAGGCAATACTCCTCTTAAACTTGCGTCAGAATCCGCTTCTATTAGCGACGATGTTCTCGGCCTCATTACAAGAAGATGACATTAGCCTACAGGGCATGTAATATTTATAGTCAAAAAATGGATGTCGCTGAATCGAACCTATCATCGATTGGTGCCATAGCACTCAAGGAAATTTACTGCCCACTTATCTAAATCTTGACGAGAAAGAATCAGCCTTTAACAAGTGAGGGGGGCAAGAATTGGTGGGTTCGTCTGCCTGGCAATGTGTGTATAGTGTATGGGTTGTTTAGTGGAAAACAGTTCCATCCTCTTTAAATTTTGGAAGTGCATAATGATTAATTATTTTCATTATATAATCGATTAATTAACATGTATTCTAAGGGCGGCTTGTGATGTACCAACATTTTTATTACTCTGTTGGGTTACATTTCCACTTTGGTCACGCGACAAAGATGGAAAACATGCACATCATTGATAGAAGTTCCTGGAACGTGAATCTTAATTTGATAGGCGTCGCTGTGATGATTTTGACAGAATTGCTAGGGTTAACGTTTCGTGGATCGTCTTTTTTTTTTGGAATTTTTTTTTTTTACCAGGATGTGAATTTCAACACATTGACAAGACTGCCTCAGCCTGATAATTCTATAGAACTTGAGAGATTCTTCAACCAAATTTTACGACGTGGTTGATTTCTGCGCATCTGGTGTAATCTAATAATACCTCTTATTTTTAGTACTCCTCCAGTTTTACATATAAAACCCACTTTGTAGTATAAATTACACTATAAAATGAGTCTTATATTTAAAACCAGAGGAATATAAAAATTAGTTTAATATTTAATTTGGTCTTAAATATAAGATTTTAATTCAATTTTTCTTTCGCATTTATTTATTTTTTAAGGTAGGTCTTATAATAATTGTATATGTTAAATGTTTTATTAATAATATTTTTAATTAATACACTTAATTAATAAAAATATTTTAAAAATGATAATACATATTTATTATAAATAACTAATTTAATTAAATTTTAAATTAGTCAACTATTCTTATGTGCAGGTAGCATGATATATTGTGAAAAGTGAAAACTGAAGTTTCTATTGTACAAACAAGAAAAAGGCAATGGCATTAAAAAAAAAAAAAAAACCAAGCCGAATCGCAGCCCCTCCTCGTGGGGGCTCACCGGAAAAAGTCAAACTCAGGCGTGTTCCTGTTTCATATTTTCGTGCATTTTTCTTGACTGTTTACTCTATATTTTAGAACTTCACGGGTTGCATACATTAATTCATGATAATTTTTTTTACAAAAAATTGATTGAATTATACTTCTGTTTTTCATTTTGAAAATTACTTTTGGATCCTGTATTTTAATTTATAAAAATTCATTTCACTAAATTGTTTTCGAAAAAGATTATTTTTGAAAGATTAGGAATTTCAATTTTATTCACAATTTTTTATAACACAAATTTATTAACAATTTTTTTTTGCCAACCATTAGGGACAGTATTGTTAAACTACACAAATGCTCATTTATTTTTATGACATATCAAACACAGTCACATCTCATCACCTATGCTATTTCTATTCCCAATTCCTATCTCTCAAAAATTTATATTCCCCGGTTTGACAAACATTGAAATTTTCACAAGTTTTATTACTTCTGCATATCCAGGAAAAGAGCAATATTTTTTTAGCCAGAAGGAAAAAAAAAAGCGCAATGTGAAGTATATGCTGATAATAATGAGCAGCCACTGAAGCATAGATGGTAATTGTTTGATCTGAGAGAAAGTTGCTGCCACTTCCGCGGGACGTCCCTGTTAGTGAGCAATGACGAGAAAAGCCGCCGACCTACGGAAGACCAGGAAGACGACCTCTTTTACCGAATCCAAATCTCACATCGATATTATGATATGGTATCGTCGCAATCCAATAGCAATTTTCTGTCATAATCTGATCGCATTTCAACTGTTTGATTAAAGTGCTAAGTGAACAAATATGCGTATTGTATATGGTACAATGGTAACACCAAACTACGAAGGAGAACGTGCATATAACTATCTTTGTCCCCTTTAGTAATCAGCTTTGTTGATGGCAGTATGCTTCTATGTTGTCTTGTCAGTCCTTTTTTTTTTTTTTCCCTGGTGGTTTGCATAGGCTTTGGTAAATTAAATATTTGAGTTACACGTAATATGGTTAAATATGAAAATAAATCAATCTGACAACTGGTAAGGCAGTATGATGACGAGTCAAGATCCTAACCGTTTCTTGAGCAGAAACCGAAGCATGCTCCTGAGGGTCAAATGCTCACTCGTGTGGAGGGGTAAGAGAATTGAAAAGTGCGGCTGGGGCTTCATTTGGATCTGTGCTGTGTCCATCCAATACTTGAATAGAAGCAGCAGAATTATTGCCCATGGCAAAGCACGTGGTATTTCTGATGTGTAGCTGTGGTTAACGTGAGAAATATGTATGGTCACTTTCGATGTAAAAAAAAAATATTACATCCGTTTTTTAATATAAAAATTAGTTGACTAATTTGAGTATATTAAAAAAATTTGTTAAATTAGTTAAATTTAATAATTAGATGTTGCATTTTCTAAAATACTCTTTGCTAATCATGTATTAGCTAAGACAACCACTTGATTAAATCTTTAACATATACAACTATTAGAAGGACTATTTTGAAAATAAATAAATAAATATTACTCCACCAGTATTAAATATAAGACCGTTATACACACTAGTATAAAGGTCTTATATTTATGACCGGAAGAGTATAAACAAAGTAGATGAGAGTCTTATATTTAAGATTAAATTTTAGTCAAACTAGCTCCAAGGACCCGAGATGGTCGTATTTTTCATACTTGAATTTTATAGATCCGGAAAATCGTCAGTTCATAATCTGCTAGTCTTTTGTTCCGCTTAATAGGATGAGTTGAAACGATTTGTTAGTCCTCTAAGGATTAAGGAAAAAGGGACAAAGAGTCTTTGAGCTTTTGAGCATGCACAAAGAGTCAAAGATGGCATAGGGTAATTTACGATGAAATTTTATTGTTGCTAAAGGAAAGAAGAGAGGGAACTACAGCCTCCTCAATGAGGAAAACAAGGGGAAAAAAAATAAAGAATACATATAGAGGATTAGGATCACAGATTCTTACTTTGTAAAAAATGCTAGCACTTTCATGGTTTTCAACTTTACGAGGTTCTTAGGACAAAAAAAAAAAAAACTTTACGAGGTTTTGCCTCTATATTTAGGCATCTAGGTCGTAGCACTCCCCTTGGATCATTTGAGCTGAGAGTCTTGCCCGAAAAAGAATTCATAGGGAAGCTCAAATCACTATTTGGATTAACAAAGATTCTGTGTTATTAAATCTGCTTATGATGTTTTTTTGGCCAAAATTCTGCTTTTGGTGTGAAACCATTACTTTTTATTATTTTATTTTTTTTGGTCAAGAGTGTTTACTCGGATGGGAGTTGCATAATTCAAACAGGATGAACAGTGCCTGTTGATACTTTTTCACATGCTTTCTACAGAAGGGCTAAGGATTAGCCCATCGACCTTGTCGGTGCGGCTCATAACCGCAGCTAGAATATGGTGCATAGACTTCGTTCCAAGCAATGTAACCTGTGTCCTTAACATCATTCTACCCACTCAGATGTGCTGGCATGGAATTAATACCACCTGAAAATATGTTAAAACTTCACTGCTTATTTACCTTGACTCCCCCCGTCTGGAAAACTGCTTTATTGGGCTCGCACTTAAGTGGGAAACATAGAATATCTAGGGGAAGAGATGCATGATTTATATGTTTTTGTTCTGCTTTGTTATACTTTTAGCATCGTCTCTAATTCAATATAATCATTGGTTGCATGCGAAGTTCGGCTGCATCTGATGGGTTTGTACAAGTGATGCTCAATTTTGCCGTGTTCTTTAGCTGGTTGATTGACCTACATTATGCCAATAATCAAAATGTGACCCTTTCATGTCTAGATACTTTTGTCTTATTGATAATACTTACTAGCCTATGCTTCACCGCCGTGCGGTTCCTTTTTAACCCCCCGAAAAAAAATCCCACCAGCCTATTTGTCTTCCTTCTCTCTTGGCATTGACACATTTACTTTCAGAACACGCAACTTCTAAAATTTAAAACCGAAAATTGACCCATCATCATATAGTCAATAGTCTATGGGCCTCATGAATAAGGTTGCACAAGAGAAGCCGATTGAAAATAAATATTGTAACCTATAGTAACAGGACCAGAAGCGAAAATTAAAAAGGGTTGTCCCTGGTACAATAGTCTTGCCAAGAGTCAAGCTTTTTCCTTGAGGGTAATTATACACGAGATGGCCGACCTCATTGACCTTTTCCATTTTTACTAATCAAATTGAAGACAAAGGCAAGCGACCAGTTGAGCGCAGCTAGCATTTGAGGCTCGTCATGGGACAGGGAATTCTAGATTTAGCATTTGCGGGCATACAATGAATATGATTTCTAGGACTTTGATGTAGACTATTTTGAAAAAGACCTCGTATTATTCTTATTCTTGTGCTTCGACATTATCCGTTTATCGCAAAGAGACCTGTTGAAACAGATATGTTTGGTTCATCTACTCAATCTCCCTTTCAACCAACCGAAAGCAAGACTAAAACTTAGTGAAGAAAACTTTGTTTGTCTTGCAATAATTGGTCTACAAATTTGTATCAACCTTTCAAAACCAATTACGGTTCAGAAGACCAAGATAGCAACCATATACCGAATTTTAAATTCTAATGCGTCATAAGGCGGTGCAATTATGTGAAATTGCATCTTGTGACGTGTGAGTAACCTCATTCTTAGTCCGACGTTGATTCATTAATTTTGTTTAGGAAAGCGATTGTGTGCCATCTGTCTCAGCATATGTATGCCTTTTGCCTCCTTTTCATTCATTACATTTGTCTGTCTGTTGTGTTATCTGACCAGATTAGCGCACATTTGGTTTTCATCGCTGGTTAAAAATTCGTGTATAGGGCCTTTTCGTTGTTAATTTCTTTTCTATTTTATGTTCCATTGGCTCCATCAAAATGGTTCCATGCTGTCCACACATCATTTTTATAATCAGGGTTGAGAATATATAGATGATTAGCATAAAGCAAATTGATCACAAAATCTTAGACATGTGGATATGCTTATTCTTCTTAAGTCGGGAAAGATAAAGATAACATCTTTTCGTCTTGTTTCAAAATATTGAAGCTTATCTTCTTCCCTTTAAATAATTATATCACTCGTCTCAGCCCATGATTCGCCGGGTCATTCGTTGAAATCTTTCTATCTTGTGTACAGCGCAAGAAAGTATGGCCTTTGTGTGTATGCAATATGTGTGTGACCTTTTGTCTTTTTCTTAACCCTCTCTTTTCGCTGTTATTTGCTGCAGAAGCCTGAAAACGTCAAAGAAAATAAGGATTTCGTCGGCATTATGAAATTCATCAAGTCCATCTCTAACATATGCAGAACAATCCAGAGGCAGCAC